TTGTCCAAATCGGCTAACGGAGGCTCACGGAAGCGAGCAAAAAAAGGGAAGATGAAGCAGCGCAGTGAGAGAATCAGAGCTAATGGTCTAAGTTAGCGAGTACTAGGAGACGCCTGTATTGTATCATTATCACAGTGATTCACAGGTGATACTGTTTTGTAGATTTTGCACTTCATCATAACGTTTCGTGTATGATTAAAGAAACCAAGATTAAATCAGTGCTTGGTAATTTAGGCTGTGCCGTAGAGACAGTAATTAACGGTACCTTTATAGCCCACGCGGGATGATCGGTGAGCTCAGGTAAGCTTATCGGGCAATCACTTTAATGCTCAATTAGTTAATTGTATATGAAAAGCATTTAACAGCTATGTGCTGTGTTTCATCCGGACAAGTAAAATAAGCCAGTGTAAATAAACACTGTGCAATGTTTCGTTGCTTTGATTTGCACCCTTACTAAACACATTATATTATTTACTTTAGAAGTTGTAGCTTGGAGTGTACCGCGTGCGTCGTACAAACCACAACAAAAAACTGCTTTCAGTACTCAAGAGGTGTCATCAGTGACTATCAATCGGGACGGTGGTGGGTCCTAAACGAATCATTTTCACTACATCTGTATTGTGCACTCTATGCGAAGCGTTAGCGATGGCACCTACTTCAAGGACCACAAAAGGTATTTGATATGACAATTTTAGTTGTGTATGTGCAGTTACGTCAAGCTTTTATTCTAGGTTTTGTAGCAGTATCATCACTGAATCATGCAGAAGACGTTGTAAAGCAACTCGACACGCATTCTAGAAGAAACACACTGGAATATTCTATGCAGTATTGTTTTCGTCTGGCGTAGACCTGTCAGGCAAGAAAAATATAGTTATTTAATAATAATTATAGGTGCATCAGACGAACTTTACAAATTCACCTTTTGTCTGAGGTACACCTTATACAGAGTTTAGTACATTTCTGAGTTATTTCGATTCCAGTCAAATTATTAAAAAACATCAGCACTTTGATCCTACCACACAAGCCAGTAAGACATTTGGTATAGTGAGCAGAGCGACTTATGACGATCAATAGGGGCAAGGGAAGGCGCAGAAAATGCCCCAGCTCCGATTGCTAGCATATAATGTTTAACAGAGTGCTCCAAATATTTACTCAAGGCACTTCGTCCAGCGTTATTTTGCCACGATAATTTTCCTTTTATTTTCTCTCTGTGGAGTCAACATACATACTTTTGTATCCAATCGTATGAGAGATATCACCATCTCGTTGAGAAGCTAAAATCGTATGTGTTTCTTAAAGCTGGTGCATGGCCTGGTAGACAGGCTCGTATAGCGCGTTTTTGTTAAAGCAAAAAATCTTCAAAGGAAAACCGCTCGTACGTAGTTAACTAAACAACAAACATGAAATGAGTTTCACTGGTGTAGAAGGGATACTTTTTGACGTAGCCTAAAGATGGATCTACCCATAAAAGTACTATTTGCCGTTATTAAAAAAATATAGATCTTGAAAAAATAACACCAGCTAAAGGCCACCAAACGTACGGGGTTTCTTACCACTTATGAGCAACGGTTGATTATAACAACTAGAAATAGATTATGGCAGTACGGTGTTATTTCAGGGAAAGCAAACCAACCAGCCATCGGAAGTTCTCAATAAACTTTTGTGTGCTCATTTACTTGAACGGACATTTAAGGAGAAAAGATATAAACGTCAAAAGAGCAGCCATTATTAAATGCTAACGCCCACCCGCCCACACAAACACGCACGATCTCCTTTTCCTGATCAGCGTCACCGTAAACGTCGCCGCTTGCTTTTCATTCATTTTGTCATCATCATCATCGTCACCATAATGCTGTTGATAACAATGACGGCTCTTTTGTTCGTCCACCACGATTTTAAAATCTTCTTTAATCTTGTCGGATTTTGCTATAGTGCTCTGCATGGTTTCATTCAGACCTTTGGCCTATCAGGCGATGCTCCAAATGGTGGGAAACACCCGGGAAAAAAGAGCGACGAAAAGCAATAGCGCGCGTGAGAGGGGAGGAAAAGATTTCTCGTGTGTTTGGTGATGTAATATAAAATGAAACGTCTTTTTTTACACTGCTTGGCGTAGTGATGCCGATTATCGTTCTATAGTGGGGCTAAAATTTACTCATTAACTTGTTTCTCATCTTGGTTTCTCCATGCATACTCGTATTTCTATTTTAAAACCTTGGAAACCACTGTTAATTGTCGACGTAAATGGTAGCACTAAGCGCTGCAGTTGTTCTAATCAAAATGTCTGTAAAGAAATATTTCTATAAGTCTAATACACATTTTGCTGATGCATTTGATTAATAATCTATATTGCATCTGAATGTAAAATGAATAAGTGTTCTGAGTCTTAGGTCCGATATTGCTCTAAAGAATTGCTTCAGGCGGCTGGCCTGGGCACATAACGAAGTCTGCGCCTCGTTTAAGAGCTAACTCACCTCATTGAGTTTCCTCAAGTCTAGTAGGTACGCACGTTATTAGGACCATCCTACGTGGTCCGTGGACAAACTGTTTACACACGAAGTACGTTAATTCACGCCCAAGTCACTTATGTATGTAAGCGCAGCCGACTATGCCCTATGTACATAGAGGTGTTCTCCTAAGTACATGTGCCACTTTTTGAGGCGCATGGCAGTAGAGATTTTCTCTTTGACACACCTCACAGAGGTACAAATCATTTATTCAACAGTATTGCCATTGAAGGTAGAAGCTTTTTGAAGCTTTATCGGTAGCTTGTGACCTTCTTGTCCAAAACCTAGAAGCCTCTCAATCGTGATATGATATCTCTATCAATAGAACAAATAAATAAACCATTCAGCTCTAACTCATGTTTACAACGATTACTACAGCTTTTTACTGGATTTAATTAATCGAGGAAGCTGCTGAGGTCGATAGACTTCTAGACGCTGTGTGGAAAGCTGGGCTCATATGCCAAAAGCCATTTCTTTTGACTACTATGAACAAGCACTGTGGACGTCATCGATGTTGGCTGGACGGACATCGCCCTTCAATGACGACGGCAGCGCCACCGGATTACAGCGGCGCGCCCTCGAAGCTCGCACGCTTTGGGAATGGTTCAGTCGATGCGCGACAGCAGCGCACTGTGAGGAGGTTATTCGCATAATACCTTTCCAACGCTTTCTCCCAAAGACAAACCGACATCACAGCAAAACACTGGCAAATACCAAAAACAGAGACCAGCGCTGACGACGACGGCGCCAGCAGGAGTCACTGACTTATGCTCGGCCCTGTCGACAGATCGACAGTATTGTCGCCCGACGAGCGAACGATAGGAGCGCCTGCGTCCAACCAGCTATCGCTATTGATGATGCATAGGTGTTGCAAGTGTTACTTCGTCCTCATCCAGCACGATCAATGTAAGCATTAATCCGAGGGGAGACGTCAGAGGTGCCATTTCTATTCCAATAACCTGTTTGTTGCCGACAGCGTTGTTGGCTGTGAACGTGCTTCTATCAGTTAAATAGACCATTTATGCAACTTCTACCCGGACGTTCGGACTTAACAAATCTCCTTGATGAAACGTGCTATAGCGTACGGATGACGCGGTCGTTCGATTTGTTCTGTTTCTGCATCAGCTGATGTGTTTGATGTTTAGTCTTGACTAAGTTTGTGCTGTTGCCATCAGCCGGAATTCACCCACAACAACGACTTGGACAAGATTTATGAGCGTGGTCAGCTGAAACCAGAAATACATACAAATAATTCTTTTAGCTCTGCTGAGCTGTCGTAAACATAGCGTACGGAAGGGATGCGTCGTTGGGTCGACGTTGCCGTATAGTGCCCAGCTGGATATTACTAAACAGATAATGAACAAAGTTGTCAGTGATCATTGGGTTTCTTGGTGAGAGCTGTCACTGCCGCTAAATATCCGCGCGAACATGGCAATGTTACCAACACCATCTCGTCCCATACAGGTTAGAAAGCGCGTCTTAGACATACTGTGTGTGTTCTTTAGATGAAACTGAAAAAGCCCATTGTGAGTAGACAAGAATCTTTTTTAATTAATCTTCGCTTATGTTGACTGTGATCATTGTAGTTAGGTCAACTGCAAAGAGCAGTACATACATGAAACTTAATTTGGCTATGCCATTGCCAGGAGATAGGCCATTTCGAAGCCACGAAGCTCATCTTAGTGACAGATAAAATCACACACAAAAAAAAATGGTAGAATTCGATTACGATGTCCATCAAGAACACTTAACGCAAGGAAGACGCAAAATCCATTAGTTATTAAACCGTGCAAGAATCGCAAACAACTACTCATATATATTGAAATAGCACTGATGATGACGTTTTGCAAAAGAAAATTCTAGGGATGCATTACTTCATGAAGATGATGTCAGGCTCCTCACCTTCATCAAAAATTCTTTTTTCGGGTAACCCGTAGTAAACTGAACCTTCTTATAGTTTCGGTGCATAAGTATAGCATGTGAGCTTTACTTGACTTGTACTTGCAAGTTAATGACTCTTAATCATTAGTAATAACGTTGCTTTAATATTATCTCTGCGCATTTGTGTTGGCAGTAATGATCGGTTGCTTTGAAAATTATCCTATACGATAAACGTATTTTTGTTGGGTGGACAACATCACGTTCTCCACTAATTTTCGTGTTTTCGGTACATGGAATGAAGGATATCTTTTAGTCTACTCGCTAACAAGGAAATATTGATATACGTCAGCCTGGCAGGCAACGCCGATGTGACGAGCAATCTGCACCCTTCTGACAGTTAGGCTCTTCATTGTACTGGACCAGAAGGGCGGACGGGCGCAGACTGCTGATGTTCGCCTATTGATAGTATTTGTGCTTTCATCTAGTTGCTGTGACAAACGAAGGCGGAAAAGTACTGAAGAAAGCATACGCTCTTCCTTTACTTCTTCTATTGTTACAATCCGTCCGGAAGACACCGTTGACAAGAAGCTAGGGGACTGGTGTGTAAGAAATGACTATAATTTTGATTGTATGTACACTTGAAGTCGTTCTTGTTTGATAAGACGAATGGATTTATGAAGTGTGATGGCTTTCCTGGAATAGTTACTATTTACAGAACACGTATTATTTCACTAGAGTATTTCCTTTAAGATAACGTTCCGGCAAACACGACTAGTGTTTATTGAATTTATTGAGTTGACTAGTTTATTGAGTCTGGTTACTTCCAGTAGCAGACAAGTAATGATGATTATTGAAAAGATCACAGTTTCAATAAGGTGTCTACTTATTGCTAAAAAAAATCTATTGAGTTGGGCATTTGTATTCATTTATGATGAAATGTTTGGCAACGAAGAGCGTGCGTTAACCGAATCGGTATTTACCGACCACCAAAAGAAAAAAACTTTGCGTTTTTTTTTTTATTCAAACCCAGCGGGCAGTTCAGAACTACAACGTTAATGAATGATTATATCGAAGTTTTTCACGCAAACGCTCACAAGCATCTTGTTTTGCCAAGAAATATCAGTTTCTAGCAGTTGACGTTTGAAAGGGGTCGTTGAGGCAGTTATGCCCAATTTTAGAATTTTTACAATATGTCCCATGTTCATAATAGAAAAACATTTTATATATTATCAGGAGAATAAAACAATTGTTCTCGTGCGACTTTAAACTCTATATCTCTGATCTTCTATAAGAATATAGCATTATGGTATCGCAAGCTCCGTAGCAAACGTTACGATACCTGACGGTACTGTGTACAAACACTTCGGGTGAAACGTATTTTCAGAAGCTTCTTTCAAAGAGACATGCTGACAACTGGGGAGCCATTGCACAGCTTGGACTATTTTACGAAAAAAAACATAACATACGCTTGACGGCTGTAGGCTCACTAAATGAAGGTCCACATAGGTTCATCAAAGGATGACGAACGGCCAGACGACTGGTAGCAGTAGATACGGTTCAACGATGGCCCCTGCATCACTATAATCAGACTCTGTATAATTGATAGTGTACAGAATATATTTTTTAAGATGTTAGATAGAGTAGGCCATCCTAAACTAATAGACAATTAGATCTGCCCTAGTATCGAGGAGCGCTCACCTAACTATTTCGATGACAAGATTTTTTATGCTGAAATTGATAATAGTTTTAGTACTAACAGTAGCTATGGCGGTACTCAGCGTTCCAGTGACACCTTAGAGCCCCTGGCTTGAACCAATCTTTTCTTTTCTTTTCTTTTTTAAATTCAAGCTTCGATATAAAAGCTGAGATTTTTCCCTTCCACCTAGAGTTATATGGTCCCTTTGACACACCGGCAGAACCTTGTAGATGGACGTAGGTAACATGTCTCAATGATGTGAGCAGTGCGACATGATGATTTCTGTTCGTAAATATGTTGTCATTTGCTTAAAGGACAGACATCAATGTACGTTAAACGGATATTTTATTCTTGTGACCATATTTGTGTGGGACCTTAGTGTCGTTGGATTTTAATAAATCTGTAACTCTGCTTTGTAGTAGCAGTTTGCGTTGTTTTATCATTGCCAAATCTCAAATCATTTTAATATCAATATTTTTAAAAGTTTACCCTTACTTGAGATTGCTCGAGACGATATTTTTCTTCAAGTATTTGTTATGAGGGGGACGCAAATAGTGCTGCTTTCTGCGTGAAAGCGTTAGTATCCTCCTGCCTTTTATAAGCCGGCGTACCATAAAACAAGCGCAACTAATACGGTTATTCAATCGAATGCCAACGCGCTTAGCACCGTGCAGCTCACCCCGACCTCTGATCGCAGTCGACGCTAAGCGGCAACAGCGAGTCCACTCAGATTTTCTGATGTTATGAAACCGGTTTTTGCTTCTTCTGTTTCTGAGTTGTACGCTCTGTCTGCTGTTTTGTTTTCTGCTTTCTGCAAGTCACGGTATAAAAACACAGATGCATTTGTCTACCAAGAGATTCGCGGAATGGAAACATTTTTAAGGTTGCAGATTCTGATGTGGCGGAAAGCGAAGATATAAACCTTTTGGAATTGTTAAGTAAAAAGTTGGAACAACGATAACTTCATCCGTATGGCTACTTCAACAATATGTAGCAGTGTTTGAAACGATGTTGCAGTCAGGAAGCAGCGATTTTTTATGTTAAAAAATCTCGGAAAAGATTCTGTGTGCAGAAATAGTGTTTTTTTACGGTAGTTTCACCCTTGCGACTAATGGCTAGCTGGAGATAGTGGGCTGTATTTAAAACCAAATCATATGTTGAGAGCTAAAACATTTTAATACTTTGGATTCCGTCTGCTGAAATGTCACCTATTGAAAGGTCAATAATTTCGTTATGGCCGATTGATTTACCAGTGCTGCAAGCAAAACCCCATTCTTATATACATGTAAGTATTATGCTGAGTAGCTTTTCTGTCCCACTTGTACCCTTTCCACTTGTTGTTAATTTCTGACATATTGCTTAAAAGCGCTGCTCGATCAGTGTATTGTGACAATATTGTCGTATGAGTGCTGCTTCAGCTTGAAGGAAGCCCTTAGAGATGGTTGTTTTAAAAAAAGGCCGATCTTTGATACATTTTGTACGGTGCATTTCGTCGAAGCAAAAACGTTGCCGAAACAGCCTCGGAGCAACGACGCTATTAGTGAAGGGACTGCTCAAGAGTGGCTAACCGAAATGCTGTCTGAGACTTAGGAGATGCCTCCGCTCTGGCAGTCCGATTCAATTTAATGACCACAATCTAAGGGCACTTCCGAGGCAGGACGGCCGACAAGCGACTCGAGAATTGGCCGAAAATATGTGCTGCAACCCTGAGCAAAGCTGAGTGAGCTGAAGTCTCTTGGGTTTGCACGGAAACTGAAATCTAGGAAACTGAAAATGAACTCTGTGGATCCAACAATGTACGTGTGTATGACTTCACGCTGCATCTGAACATCTCGCCCGGAAAGTAGCATCATGCGGCCACAACGACCGATTTTTGCGCAAAATCGTTATCGCTAATCAGAGTTAGCGTCAGCATGAACAAGAGATCGGAAGGGATAGCTCCAGTAAAAAAAAGCCAAGGCCCAGGGTAGAACCAGACTTTCATCCAGCAAAGATTATGCGTTGCATTTGGTGAGACTGCAAGGGCTTGATTAATTAAGTGTTGCTTTTTACAAATTAGATGCTTAATTGGTAGGTTTGCTTGACCAAACTGAAACAAATTAATCATATTATTCAAAAGGAAAGATCAGGCAAACGAGATCAGATCATCCTGCTTCACGACGACCTGGGGTCAGGCACGGCAAAAACGCCAAAGCTACCCCTCAAAACTTCTACTGGAAGGTTTTTGTTGCATCCTCTATATTTTCCGGACATTTTTTCGGTTCACTAGTCAATCCGCCTTTGTAGCTTTACGTCTTTCTCCAATCAACAACTCAAAACGTGGTTGGAAAGCTTCATCACATAGAAACCCGCTTCGTGCTGGCGAGACGGCATAAGTCATTTAGTCGAGAAACAAAGAAAGTCATGAAAATTTTTTTTCTTATTTTTATTATCTATGAAATAAATGTGAAATTGTTTCTATTCATTAAAAAATGTGGTAGCTTATTATCTAATCTAATCAGATATATAGATAGCTATAGTGCAATATATTTATATGTGTGTATTTATATGTGAGTATACGCCATATATAATATGTAGAGGAACTATTGGTACCTCGGTTATCACCTCTGAAATTAGTGACTGCGATGATCTATCCCAAGCCTCGATTTGTATAAAAACGTCTTTCAATACGCGTTCGGTACGTTGCGCATTCTCATTTTGCTATTGAAATGAAGCAGGGGCCCAATAGGACTGCGATACAGGCCAACTGGCCATGTGGACAACGGCCGCTTAACTACTTACCACGACACGGCCTGTTTCAACGAAAAGACACCACTATATATTCGGCGGATCGGAGTGGTACGAATGCTTAGCTACGACCAACAAGACGGACCATGCAAATTATGGGTGGCCAAATTGAGCTCTTGGGTTAAAGTTTATAGCATAAACAAAAAACTAAAAAATATATATATATATAACAAAAAACCTGAATCTAAAGAAAACAGACACCAGTCGAGCAAACTCTGTAAAGTTTTTACGACAATCATTAACAGGCTTGCATTACGAGTAGCAAAGCCCGTGTGTACTTCTGGAAAATATATAAGAAGACAATTTGATATTGCATATTTGATAACTGGAAAAAGAAACAGGCGCGACGAGCGATCAGATACACGGTTGCTTGAAGTGCCAGTTCATTGCTATTTATCTATTACTTGTGACAGAGACCTGCATCGCGTGTTGCTACGTAGCGAAGCTAGGGTAAGCACTGCGCGCACCCTTCCACAGATGGATTCCGCTCTGGTGATAAACTATTGGTGGACAGTCAAAGAGTTCTAAAACATATAGTTAATGTAGCACTTAAAATGGCTCTATCTCGAACATCTGCTATATTTAATACCGGTAGATATAAAAAGTATTGAAACAACGGTACCCTCATTTGCCAAATGGTAGAGTAGTCTTTAATGAAATCGGCCGGCAATTCGGGTGCTCATTAATCCAAAAACCAGTCACTAACTGCGATTATACGAAATTAGCAACAAGCATCCCTTCATAGTAATCAAAATACGGAACTGCTAAATACACGGAACATGTCTTTATATAGCTCACTTTGGATTCTAATGGATCAAGCGTTATGAAACTTTGTTTCTGAAAGGAAAAAAAATGTTCCAGTAAAACAAAGCTACTCTCAAACAGCTAGCTTTGTGCCGTAACTTTACGCTAATTTCCAGTCTTAAAGTTAAAGCCTTAAAGTATTATCGCCGATCCCCGGTTACTTTTCCCTAATCAAGCCCAGTGAAGTGGTTCTGAATGCAAATCGATGGTAGATCGAAATTAGATTATTGTATGATCTGCCTCTCAATTGTACACTTGAAGTAATCATAGCGAAGGAAGGTTCTATAGAACATCAATTTAGTCATTACATTAAAAAAATAAAAATTATTTTTAATTCAATGCTTAAACGAAGACCCAAACAGCTGAGGTACGCAACATTATCGAAATATGGAAATCTCGTTTAACTATACTTCAAACGAACTGCTTAGTACTCCACTAAGAAATCACGATTGAAAGTTTTCAAGTGATTTTTCTCGCAACCCTCGATAACAGTGTTCGGCAATGGAACGAGGAACTCCAGACCGCATAACGCTTTTATGCTTGAGCTAATTTCAAAAGGGTATAATTTTTCTACCGTTCGAAACAATCGTCCCTGCCGGAATCGTCATACAGTGAAAGTCTGCACAACATTGGATACGAGAGTAATTTATACTATAGATCATTGATTAGAAGGCGACCTCGAGGGCTACGTACTGGAATTAGAAGGAAAACTAGTGTCACCTCTAGATAGAACCTGTGACTATACTGTAGGTAATGTAGACGTTTGTGTTCTGTAGAGGTAGTTACTGATACAACGGTTATAAGAAATCGTGTGAAATTTGAAGATCTTTGTTTGCCACTGCTCTGCTCGCTACTTTTGGCAGGGAGCGGCAATATGAAACAGCGTAGATATAGGTGCTGGAGCCGTCGTCAACAAAACATGCCATCGCCGTTAGATCGTCGACCATAAATATATGTGCAGGTTCGCGCGATGAGCTTCCGCTTCAAACGATTTGTCGAGAGCGTCGAATAGAAAGAAAAGCGTCAGTTCGTGTGTCATACAGCATATAAAATGTTCCTTTTTTTTTTTACAAAAAAGAAAGAACTTCAATTATAGAAATTGTTTTTTCTTTTTTTTATAACTATTCTGAGTGAAATATATATTGAGCTTCTGTAGGGACCCGTATCCTCGAGAAGAAGCAAATAATGTCGCTCGTGCTTGCACGTGCAATGCGTCATGGTATAATCTGTGTACGATCCTCCTGACCAAGAAATAGTAGTCTATCATTGCTCTGTGGTGAAGCCCCGAACGTCCAATAAAATACATTTATTTATGCTTGATATCTGTTGAGTATTCTAATCCGATGGCTTGAATATATATTATTTATTCTAATAACAGAAATTTTCCTACATCAGGAAAAGGAATGGCGGCAATACATCAGTCCACATTATTAGTATTGGTGATTAGTCTGCAGTCTGTGATCCGGGCAGTGGCACAACAACAGCCGACAATATCGCACATCTCACAGGCGAAAACTGTCAACATAGGGGACACCGTTGATCTCGACTGCAGTGTACAATATGCATACGATTTCCCAGTTTTATGGGTGAAAGTGAGTCGTTTGATTGTGCTTCTTTTAGTTAGTTTTCCCGCGACTTTTTTTTTTTCATAGCTGCTCTACGTCGATGTATTTAACGCACGATAGTGTGAATTGTAGTAGTGACAGAAGCTCATTAAACCCCATACCCTTTTTCCCTCTCCCCCGATAACCAGTAACTGCTCATCTGGAATCATGAGTATTTTTTGATATCTACGGTATGCGATATTCCAGTTGCACGATGACAATCCTGAGAAGTTTATGTTCATCTCGTCAGGATCCACGCAAATAGTTCCTGATCAACGTTTTTCTATTCGGCATGATGCGACTACCTCTTCGTATACTTTACAGGTACGACCAATGAACGCGTTCGAGTAAAGACTATATTTCAGTATATGTTTAAACTCTACTTCTTTGTCGCTAAATTGAACCACTTAGGAAAAAGTCAAATATAAAAGTTAAAGGCACCGCTACGCTGGTGCAGCATAGTCCTGCTATGATGATACATACAGTTTTCCTACGTATGTAAGGCCGGCGCAATTACGCCTGCAACGGCAATAATTATCATCATCGCGTGAATTCAGGTGACAAAGCTCCAGGAGACGGATGGCGGGATCTACCAGTGCAGAGTTATTCTTTCTCAGGTAGGTTAGAGTCTTTGATAGTTCATTGTACTACATGGAGGTTAAGAGTTCGAATATCAGTAACCTATCGATAGATGACAGCCACACTACAGCTTATCTTAGTACATTCTATAGAAAACGCATCCAAGACAGGCATCATGGTTAGAAAATTATCATAATACCAATACTGTTTATCTCCTAAATCAGTAATCCTCAGGTGACATCTTTTCCCAGTTTTCGCCTAGACGTTCATAGAAATATCTGGAACGGACGCTTCTTATGTGTTCTCGAGTTGGATATGTAAGTTAACTGCGTCCTATTCAATCAAATTGACCCTCGCAACTGAAAACGTTTGACAAATGTACAGTGTATCTGTTTGGTACAGGTACTTTGCAGATAGACTAAACCTATTCAGCTAAATAAATCTGTTCTAACGAAACTAAACTATTAACTGACCGACCTTATCTATGTTCTTTGGATTGGTGGCCGTTTTTAGAAGCTAGAAAAATGCTCGAAAAGAAAGCTAAAAAAATTTCAGTGCTCGTTTGGCTTTTTCAGTTATATTGACTAAGCGTTGCTTCTAGCTGGCTCTGTGTTTCGCAGAATTTAGATTTTAATCGTTGTATTTACATTAGCATTTTCGACGACGTACCGAAATCGTCGTAGGTTTAATTATTATCTCCTGTCTCAAATCTTTTGCAGTAGAAAACAGCCGGCAAATTCTAACCGGATATTTCGATTGAAGAAAGGCTCTTTAGCTATTGACTCTATAAGCGGAAGGTGGCCTAGGACCATATGGCCATATACGGAAATCGCTTTGATGACAATTAATAAGCACTGAATGGTACATTATGGTCTAACATTATCTATCAGTCAACTAATATTGGCACAGGACATCCTCTTTAACGCTCATTAGCAGGCGCATCCTTCAGGGGTGCTATTGTATATAAACATACAAAAAGAAACACGGCTACTGTGATGTTGTATTCTACGTTGTAGTGTATCATACCTCGCATGTTTGTGACGATATTTCAATAATAGTATCGGTGAATTTTGACAATTTTTGTCCACCGCCATAATTATTTACTAATATTGTCGAATAGGTAAAGTTATACGGGAAATACGTCGGCTGTCAACTGATAAACATAATATGACGAAACACAATAACGCAACGACGATGGATATAATTACCGCGAAGCTTTACCTTGTACGTGTACGTCAGATACCGAAGACGATTATGTGCACTTCTGATCCGAACCAGGCTAGAACAACGCGTACGTCTTTATACTAGCGAATCTCTATCGCTTGAATCCACGTTTATGACACGTGGCAGCAGTGTCCTACTCATATGTATCACGAATCTGCCGAAGCTAGTAAAAGACATGGCGTAATATTGAGTTCCACCACTTTTTTCATTAATAGCCTTATTTTTTTTTTTTTTTTGATATCGATTTCTGTACCACCTGTGCCGGCAGTCAAAAATGATGACACTTGAGTTTTTTACACATTCTCACTGCAGTTAGTTAAGGGTATAGGGGCAAACTTGGGGGTCACGGACAGATTCCTGTAAAATCCTATCACTTTTAATAAATAAATATAGATAATTCTAATACGATTTTCTCTAGCTGGTTCTGCGACAAGAAAACCTCGAAGTGTGGCAATAAATTCTTGGAGATTTACCTACTTGAACGAATACAATATATGCGTATGGGCTTCGTTCTAGCTCACCTTGTACCCCTTTACGCGATCGTTATTTAAACAAATGACGATTATTAGTGACCTTTAAAGGAAGAAGGGTATACAATCTTGTTTCCGAGTCAGCTATCGATCGTTTATCTAGGCCTGACAATTTTGTGGACAGCTGTTTCGCTGCCACACCGAGCAATTCATTGGAAAGAGTGTTGTTTTCAAGGAGATCCCCGAGTTAGTAACGTATTTCACGCTGGTACTAGTCGTGGGAGTTGATAACTTTCTGCTAACCATTTCAGACATCGATCCTGTCGCATGATGTTCGCTTGTTTATCCGCGTACCGCCGATCATTTCAGACAACTCGACCCGTTCAATTATCACCTCGACAGGAGCCAACGCAACCCTGGAGTGTTACGCCAAGTAAATTGAACTGACAGTAGTAATACCCGGGTTCGATACATTATACGTTTTCGAGATCGAAATTAGTCGAAAAGAAAAATCACCATTAAATTATTTTCCTGATGTACCTATTAATTTCTGAACGGATCAGGGAATAGTACATGGTATATACTGCTCGGCAACTTTACTAAGGAATAACTTTATATAAGTGGTTAGAGTTCGGACGAATCAGACCGTACAAACGTACGCACACTCACGCATACATATACAAAAACCTGGCCCCAAATGGACATTTCACACATACGTGGTGGAACAAAGGAAATAACATCGATAGGGGAGCTCTTTTGTTTAAGCACGAATTATATATTGGATTTAGACTAAATCATAGCGCAGCTACGACAGTTTTTCCCTTCCCCTTCCTTTCCCAAGAAAAAGCTTGATCAAATAAAGCTGTCGTTTTAATGTCTATTTCAGAGGTCAGCCAAAGCCTCGTATTACGTGGCGACGTGAAAACAACAACCTTCTTCCCACGGGAGGATCTATTTACCGAGGTGAACCCTTAGCATCTCTATATTACATATTATAGTCATGTTGCGAAATTTACTTAATATTATTTATAGTAAAAGCTGTATCACTTACGCAGAGATCTTCTCTGCGTAAGTGATACAGCTTTTACTTTAAGTCTCGCGTTCAATATCGTTAAAAAAGCGAAAATGTACGTAGTATGAACTATTGTCCTAATTGAGTGAGGACTTAACAAAGGCAGGTTTCCTAATAATTATAAGGCCATTTACGTCATCTAAATTTTTTCACTATTATTCTTATGATGATTAGTTTGTGGAAAAAAATAGAAATGCGTATTTTTTTTTGGAAATAAAAATACTTATCCACACATAAAGGCGAAGAGTTGAAAAAGATCATTTTCACTACTGTGTGTATCGGATGTTTCTAAAAAAATGGCTACAATTAGAATTATTTGTCAGTGTCTAGTGTGGGGCAGGCAATTTTGCTTTCGGAAATCATACAGATTAGCACGGTCATTGACTTTTCCTCTTCATATTTACATGCTTCGCTGTGTTCTAAACCACCAGTAAAAACACTTGTATGGCCTCCTTAAATGATGAACCAGCTTGGCGGGTTCTTTAATAATTGAAAGTTAATTCAATTAAAAAATATGCCTTTGGGCTCTGATGCATAGCTCTACCAAAAGCGGAAATAAAATCGGTCTCGAATATTGCACTGGTCTGAATGTTGAACATAAAACGCAAGAAAACGAACTTTGCTTAGGTTAAATATTCAACCACTCGAAACATCACCAGGCGCTGTGAGAGCCTTCGGAGCGGTGAGAACTAATGGGGTAGCTCATGGCTGTACGGATCAGGTGCAAAAACTAAAATACTAGATCAGCGGTCATGGTTTTCGGATTTCAATCAGCGAAGGCTTTCCTTGTCTACAGGACCAATATAATAAGTAGAAATTTCATTTCGTCAAGCAAAATGGCCTAGCTATTATGTAAAAATCAAAGAGCATTTCACTAAGGACCTTTTACACTACGCCTTAATTAATAAAACTTAAGTAAGGATTTTCCCTTTAGTAAGCCCTGTACACGCTCCTTGATGCCGTAGGGGAGTAGAATCATAGGAATCGATACACAGGCTTCCTGTATAATTTAAACTCTTCACATAGCAATACGTGGTTTCTGAGACCATTCGGAAGCCATTCCGTAACGTAAACTAGACGTTTTTCAATTGCTAGCCGTAGCCCGTCATTAGTTTGCTTTGTAACGAAGTGTTTTTTTCGCTTTAGCCCACATACATAACGGCTGTACTTTGCGGGTGGGTATACGCATTCACAGGTAATGTACTCCATATCTTCAATGTGAGTAAAGACGACCGTGGTACGTATTACTGCATCGCAGACAATCAGGTAAGAGTAAAAAATAAATTATAGGTCATAAAAGTGGAACAAGCTATTTGTATCACTAGCGTACAACCTGATTCGTAGAATCAGAATTTCCCGCCCTCTAAAAGTGATACCTAACTGAAAATACACGTAAACAATAAGCCTTCAAAGTAGCCAATATACACGATAAGTCAGGTGTCGAGATTTTTTTTTAACCGATGTGCCAGAGCTCTTTCTTTAGATTCTTGTGCCATCTTACAAAAAGACTAACTAACTAACCTTATATAGCTGGTTTTGTATGACTTTAGAGCAACCGATTTGCGGTAATTAATAATCAGCACCAACTGCGCCTCCTCTATCTACCCTATCTGCCCCTACTGTAATAGGTAGAATGAGTATGGCTAATTACGACAACAATGCGGTACTCGGGCAGTTTAGACCCCTCCGATAAACTCACACATCGCAAAAAGACAGCTATTCCCAACTGATCCTATTCTAACAGATATAAAATTTTGAATTGATATATCCTTGTATCTGCATATTACCCTAAATTTTAAGATGTTACTAGTTCTTCCCTGAGAAAATCCATAATTCATTGTCCTGAAGAGGTTGAATCTGACTAAATGTGAAGTCATCGAACAACGTCAATCTGTCATTAAGCAAGCTTAAACACCTCCTGGGATAATATTGGCAAAGTACATTGGAGGCAGCTTCTCATTAAACCTCGACTTTACTTAACTTAATACTAAGGCTTACCATATCAGATTTAGGTAACTCTGGCGTAGTCAACTGAATTCAAAGTATAATTTTTGGAGCTTTATTAAGGCATCAATCACCTATCATACGAACGAAGATTAACTCCGCATAGTTATGCAAAGGTTACCAAACGTATTATTAAAGGATCAATTTCAATTGACCAAAAGATATTACGATTAATTTGTCCTCATCTGTTTCAGGTCGGCCGAGGAGCCAGAAGGAACATCGGGGTTGAAGTGGAATTTGCTCCATTTGTTCGCGCTGAACGTAGCGACTATTCGCAAGCCGCTGGTACAAAGCGTTACTTCATTTAAAGTCCATTATTCTAATTATAACACAATACAATACAAAAACTAATTAAGTTTTAAATTAAACTCGAAGGGATGCTATGTCGTATTTGCTTGTATTTGTGTTTAGTGGCGCGTTTATGTAAAAGAGCTACGTGCGTCGCTGAAGGTCAAGAGGTCATACTGATGGAACAGAATATTAGTCTTCGATGTAGGCCGATCCACACCGTAACGTATCAAAGCGACTCAGGTGGGCCTATTCCGAACTAGCAAGCACTTCGGACCATATCAGATGGCTAACGAATTGCTGATAGGCACATGTAGTCTCATCTTCTTTTTAAGTCCATTGATAATGAACGGTTGTGAGCCTATCATGCTAAAGCTTTGCCGTAAGGAAAGCGCTGTCATGTCACACTCGGATAAGTGGCAAAGAAAGAGGCTCGCAGATACTACTGAATATTGAGAATATTTTTAAATTTCTCTCTCTCAGTCCGCAATACTTCATCTGCATAGGGTTACTGATAACTTTTTAATCTATTTCCTTATCGTAGTATTAAATGTACGTCTGAACAGCTAGCAGCGAAGTTACAAGAAGCGAAGTTAACGCAGGTAACGGCATATAAGTAAGTCAGTTTTTCATCTATCAGCCACGTTTGTTTTCTCCGTCGTTTTTCATAGGTTATCCTGCAGAACTCGCCTGTCACGTAGAAGCCTACCCGGCGCCCTCAATCGTCTGGCTTAAGGACGGCTACCAGCTAAACACCAATCAGCATTACAAGATCTCAATCTCGAATACGGGTTATGAATTCACAGACACTACATTACGGATTCACGCTATCGAGAAATCGCAGTTTGGAAACTATATTTGCAGGTAAAACACGACAGTTGCTCGAACATCAACAAAAAGCTCCATGCTGTGTTGTAGCTATATGAGGACTGCATGCAGGACTTGGACTTTCTTCAACAGAGGAGAAGATGTTTAGGCATATAGCTTGAGTGCGCGGTACATGTTCAGTAATCTCCTCGCAAAGCGCTTTATAATAATAGTAGATGCATAGGAAGTTTTCCAGGAGATTCTCAATGGCCTTAACAGACGTTGCGAAGGACACTAGTCTTACATCGATTCTTAATTAAATCGTAGATACAATATGTATTGCTACACCTAACGAATATCCTATTATGATATATTTAAGCTTCAACTATGCGCAAGATGGAAATAAAAGCTTTTTGAAGAACGGCTCCTAATAATGAATCCGCCCCACCGTTGGGTGGGGGACGCCGATCCTTGCAGGTCTACAATAATCAATGTTTTATTTATTCGTTTTGTTGTGCATGATGACAGGGCCATCAATAAACTGGGGAGTGCAGACAGGAAAATGACATTAGCTGAAAGTGATTCCGTCGTTTGCCCACCGGCGTGCGAGTCCCAGTATCTTTCGGCGACGGTGAGGCCAAAAGGAAGCAAATATTTCATCGTCAGCTTCCAAGCGGTTCTGCTTTCACTGCTCACATTATTAACCCGACGGAATTTATATTGAGACGCGCAAACATCAATCACACGTTCAAGCACGTGTGAAGGCCTAATCTCAGACGTGTCCAGCTAAAAGTATCTCACCTTGCGACAATACAAAAACTAGTAAACTATTTACTGCCATGTTGATATATGCAAGACATATGTCTCTAGGACAAAGAAAAGCAGCTTCGACGCCGACCCATGGCAGGAACATTCTTTATACATAACCTAGCATACATTTAAACGTAGGAGTACTATTTAAGATGTTCGGGGCCACTGTTCTGGTTTGCAATCAATGTAGTAGCGTTTCCTACTATCTATTAGGAAATCATAGCACATTAAATAAGAATACAGAGAAAAAGGCATAATAGGATTTTTCAGGAGTTCAAAAATGCGAACGACGGAAACAAATGTGACATGTAACCCATATCTAAAAAAGCGTCACTTTGTACACCGTTTGCGTGCACAAACAAACTTATTTTCTAGAGGTGGCAAATCCTTTTCCGTTGGCGCAAAAATCGTCTGAACGGTTAAACGGTCCATATCGGCATAAAATGGCAAATTAGACGCAGTCTTTAGGTTAACTTACATAGTAATATTGCTCGAGTGAACGTTACCCGAGAAAAGATTCAGTCGCAACGCCAGTTCTGTCTCACAAAAATTGGATCCGATCACTTCTGATGTCCAAAAAACAATACCTCATTGTATATATACCTAATGATGCGCGTGAGTTTTACAACTCAATATATGAATATGCGCAGCGCGGTAGGGATAAACAGGGGAGTCAAAGACGTTAACTTAGTTAAGGTCTGTCGTGTGATCCTGTAACAGTTTTTAATAATAATAGTAATAACTGAGATGGGCGAGGTGATGGGGCTAACATAATGAGTCCTGATATTTGTATATCTCATCCCATTGCTGCAGTGTTGAAGAAGATTTGTGTGCTTCGTAAAACTCGATAGTTTCTTGATATTTATTTTTTTGAGCTTCGATTGTGCCACTGCTATACAGCGTCCTATAGACGTCATCTAAGTACAGACACAAAGGTTGACTCCGAACTAAACGCCCACCTATAGTTGGGACATGCCGCTGCGTTGCCGCCTTTCGATAAATAAGCCAAAAACATGCTTATTTTTTGTTTGTTGAATAAAATCCGTGTGATTTTATAGAAAGGAAAATTAGAACAGGACCGAAAAATCAAATTGTTCATTTGGCAACTTTATATTGATACGATGGGACAGTATTTAAGATTAAAGTTGTGTTCAGTAGACAATAGACAGGGTCAATTAGTTCGAAAACGTCCACGCGATTATTAGTGAGAACAATGAAAAGAACGTGGCAGCAAAACGAGGCAAGAAATTAACCCAAATCGCCGTTGTCTGTGTTTTTGACGAGGACACATGCTGTATGGATGAGCGTAACAAGCACATTAGCGTACTTGAACCTGTGACTTTTTATACTTTGCATTGCAGTATGGCCATCTCTGAACACCTCTGTGAGCGTCTATCTATTAATTATCATCATTATATCTTATATGGAGCAAATCCCTTTCCTTTATAGACCGTGCGCGTCTGACTCTGCAGAATGCAATATATAACATATTTTTTTACACAAACGTACATACACATATATATCTTTTGAGAACGTGCAATAACGGAATTTTCTGTGTGTTTTTTGGATGATAAAACATTATACATATATATATATATATATGCGCGTCTGCTATTGTGAGCGTACATGAATAGGTATATATGTTTAATATATTTTGTTCCCTCATACGACACGAGGTAGACCAGCCTAACAGCGGCACAAAAAATCACTACGCGTGCGTGACAAGAAAATGCTAAAACACAGTACTATTGAATATCCTATTTTGTCAGAATTTTTCACGGAATTTTAAATGCATTTCTAGGTTTTTCTCTTTAGCAGGAATCAATATTCTTAAAACTGTCGATACGTTTTCGACAAACCGTACATAACACAAATTGATGATAACGATGGTAACACGGTAGCTTCTTGCAATTTCGTTCAGGGCTATCTTTTTGACAAACAAGAGAACGCATTTTAACACGCTTTGGACGAAACTGGCCGTATCGTAACGAAGTGTCCGCGGGCGTTTTGCAGTATTTTTTTTTAAACGTTGATGATGTATGCATTGGGAGGTGGTAGATAGAAATTAGCCTATTGATTCCCTGCTAAGCGTTTGCCCAAGAGGCCACTGCCACAGCTGCCGTAGAAGCACCTGTGCATCACCCTAATTTTGAAGACCCATCGACAACACACGCCGGCGATTTTTGAAGAAAAAAGCGGTAATCTTTGTAAAATTATTTCTGAAAGGTCCAAATGCAACATGTTGTTGGTCCGATATAGATAGAACCGGTCGGATCTTGTGGCCATATATGTATATTTAATATTTTCCTCACAATTAGTCTAATACCGACTTAGCGAATTGAACAATGACGGTATACTAAATATAAATAATTGTATCAACAGCCATTAAGGAGAACGATGATAATCTAGTGGATTTTGCAAGTTAAATAAACATTCGTAGCTAAAATGGGACAGAGCGATTTGTATTTTGTGATTTAATTTTTTTATTTCTCGTTATAAGAGCCTCGCAATTTCTTTCCCCAGTGTAGCAAAGGGCCCTCGTGAATCTTTTGTAGTACAAATTATAGGTGGGGCTAAACGATTAGAAGATACTGTATCATGTCAAAATATGCAGGGTATATGAATTCAATATCTATTATGTTCTTTCGAATCTCCTCCTTGAGCCCGGATTAGCAAAAGTACACGTTGAAGCTCCATTAGTAAACAACTACCGCCAGAGTATCTCATCAAATGTAAATCTACCTATATATTGTACGTCTAAATGAAGTGATGTTTTGGCTCGAACTCTTTTATATTCTGGCTGTAGTTTCGAGTGGGTGTCCCATGATGTATCGTCTATCAGCAAACGTCTCGCCTAACCTAGCTTCAAATGCTGCTCTGACATGTAATTTCTAGCTATCTATCATTTAGTATCTAATTATTTCTTATTAGTATTTTAACCAGGCTAGCGAATGTTTATGTGTACGTTCAATTCAGTTACAACCTTTGCTGCCACCGTTGCTGCTTGCGAGCTAGCCATAGAAGTTGAGGCTGACGCTTTCCCCTCACGGTTCAGTCCACGTTTGCTCCGCCTATCACGTTAACCTAACCTAACCTAACCTAACCTAACTGGTCGCATGTATAACACTTGCTTTATTCATATGCCCACATTTACCAGTCCTGCTTTACTTTCGGACCCTAAATTTATCAGCGCGGCCTTCACCCTTTTAAATTCATTCGACGTATCTCATCACAGATCCACTCATAACACACAATTAAATTCAAGTCAACAAAAACAACAACGAATGATATTCTTCTCATTCAATTAAAGTATTTCAGCAATGAGGCACTTTTCGCCTCGATTTTAGGAACTTTGGACCACTTATACTTGCTATACGGATAGGGGGGCTTTTTATCTATTGTTACCTTTTCACCTACCGACTATGTTTTCCAACTAGTTGTTGGATTGTGCCGCTTGCATCTTGTATTGAGCTGTACATTTTTCTTAGAATCCTAGTAGACGAGGTTTCCTGCAGGCACTATGGGTCTATCATATCTATATGATAAGTGCGTACACCTTGCAACAGGCAAGTATTATAAGGGATATATATCACCATTTTTCTATAAACACTTATTTAACTCCTATACACATTCGACTCTAAGGCTCAGTTAAAACGGCAGTCATGTAGCGGAGAGCTAGTCGCCTCCTATCAAAATATCGGTAAAATTTATTGGGTGTGGTCTCCTGTATCGTATGCATTTTGTCTGCACTCAACAGTAAATATCGAATGTCCTTTGGGCTTCAGTGGCATAATTGTGTTTGATTTGAACAGTTGATGGACTGTTGTTAAATCAATTTAGAGCTTCCGTTCACAGAGGTAGTCACGTAGTTACTATGTAGGTATTCTATAGGAGGCCATACATACATACATCCTTCTCACTCAGTTTCCGCCGGTGTTGTTGTCAATTGTGTGTTGTTTTTCTCGGTTTTTCACAAACGCATGATACGCCGCAAGTTCCTTCGCTTCCTTTTTCTCATTGCGCTCTTTGAATCTCAGCCTGATAAAAAAAAAAAAAGACAACGGGAAAGTAAGAAGAAGGTAACAAAACAGAGCCTTTGCTAACATAGGGGAAAGAGCTATAACAGATCTCTGGTAACCTTAAGCTTTACTAGTCAAAAAAACAAACGACAGAAAATTTAATTAAATTAATTAATTTAATTAAGTACATAGGTCTAAAAATCTTTACCTATTGCTAATAATTCGCGTGACGATTTCGTGGGTTGTGACCGACGAACCGCTTTCCACCTGCAATTGGTATCATAAAACACTTCAGTCATGGATCTGCCTAGTCGACGTTTAGATATAGTGGAGTTGCCATCTGTACGACAGCCTCGATTATCTCACCGAAGAAAACCTTTTCAGAAATTTGCCTATTCGAAAATAAAAATACCTTAGTTAGCTTTGCTGCAATAGGACTTTTCGATTTTATATTATGGCTCCTTTTTGCAGCCTGGTGCTCGTTAGTCTATTACGTATATGTGAATGCTAACCTGTACGAACTTTCCCTGTTTTCTGGGCTCTTCGTACGGATCGCGCCCATCGACGTCCGCCATAATATTCGTCGTACCATGAACGACTACCGACACCTGAAACGTTTAGCATCGTTTCTCACTCTTGCGGAATATGAAAAAAAAAAAAAAAAAAAAAAAAAAAAAAAAAAAAAACAGGAATTCACCTATAATTGAACCGATGCATCAAGACAAACTTACTCAATATCGTGCAAGTCAAAATTTTTCATGTAAGACCGATCTGTCTCTCTGGTAATTAGCTTTCTATGAATTTTAAATAAAGCACCAATCTGAGGAAGCGTATTACTAGTTATCAATACGCAGGTTTTGCCATTCGAAGCATCATGCATTGAAAGAAATATTACGTTCGAGGACGTGTATGCGCATCAGTTACCCGAAAATGTTCCATGAGGTCTTTTGAGACGTAATAAGGTGCACCAATCACAACTTCGTTAACAAATTTGCAGGCAAGCACCGACAGAACACGCTCATGAAGGTTCATTATAGGGTAGTTATATCCCTTGTACCTGAAAATGTTCCGAATAGCATTTGTTTTTTAATAGATAACACCTAATGCGAATGGGTACCATAGCTTGTTTCTTTCTTGCAACAAGCTTCTGCGCGAATGCGACAACGACAACATAGGTAAGCCTACCACGACGCGTTCTACTGAATTAAGTACTCCCTGCCCCGATTAGGAATAAAGCCATTGCAATGAATAACACAAGGATGCATAATTCAAATAAATCTTTCGAGTGCAACGTAGATTATAGCACTAAGACAATTTCACTAAAATTTCCCATCTTCCACTAGAGAGGAATCCCGCGATGACGTTCCAGGCAAGATCAAGACACTGAAGACTGATACCTCAGTAAAAATGAGACTTTCTTGACAAAGCATCTTTTCATCTGAGGTTTTCTTACAAGCACATCGTGCCGATCGTATCTATTTTGAACATTCAGTTGTCATTTACCAGACGAAGAACCATGTACCATAAATCTATTAGTAGCACTAAATCTAACCTGTTAACAATAGGATCTGTGTGCAGACCAACAATGAGGTAATCGCCTAGCTTTTTAGCTCGTTCTAAAAATTCAACGTAGCCGACATGAAAGAGATCGAAGGCGCCCGCTGTGTAGACGATTTTGTCCGTCGGCTGTAAAGTAAAACGTTACGAACCAATTTAAAGTAAATAGCTCAGAACACTCCGGTGGTCTACGTTTGACTCACGAGTTATATACTGAAATATTTTGCAGAATTGACGCTTAATGCATTTATTCGTGTCTGTTTGGCAAAAAATTTCAATAACAGAGTAGTGCAACTAGTAAACAAATGCTTATTTCTAGCGAAGACGTGCCCAAATATAGTCTGAACTCTCTTGTTCACAGTTAACTGAAAAAAACAACCCGTGTAGGAGGCCGATATACAACCTTTAGAAAGAATTAAGGATTTTAATAACAAACCTTTGGTTCTTTTCCTTCCGAAAACTGAATGATCTTCTGAGTAGTAGGTAAAAACTGTGATATTCCTGTCCACGGGCTGTGGGTTGACGAATCCTAGATAGAAAGTTTTAGAAAAAAAAATCTATATTCAAAGCCATACTACACAGACCTATTTCAGTGTTGCATTCCCACTTCTGAAAGAAATATACGAGTGTGAAGGAAGTATAGCGTTAAGTTCGTGGAACCCATATTCAAGTAGATTTATGATAATTACACGTTTAACACACTTACAAATAGTATTTACGCTTTAAAAACCAGGGTAAACCTCTTAGATCGAAATGGCTATCACACAACACAAAGTATCAAGTCGATCAGAAAGTACCTATATTGTTAGCGTACTTGTTAACGTAATTACTGTTAAGTTCTGCGAGAAACTAACTTCCCTTGTTAAAGCTTTGTTTGCTTTCGGTTGTCTTGCTCCACTGTCTAGACAGCAGACGGTTTTTCGTTGAATGAAGGGGATATCCATAAAGGTGATCTAATCAAAAGACAGTTTTCTCTCTCTTCTCGAGCTTCTTGTTCTTCATGCCATACTGCGTGAATTCGATGAGGCAAGTTCTGGGCTATAATAAGAAGGGTGCTGAAGAGTTTGTTGTGAATGTGTTCCCTCTTCTACGTCGCCGAAGACACGCGAGGTCTGGTGTTGTCGTGCAATAAGATCTACTTGTGTCTCCTTCTGCCTGTGCAGGGCAAAATCAAGTTCATAACTCAGTTGGACGGCTTGAGTCGAGTTACTGTTTGCGTTCTGCGTTTATATAGAAGGGTAGCCACTTGAAATCTTCGAAAGTGTCGACATGCTGACGTATCAGAAATATATCCTGCTGAAAAATTCTTCTTCTTTCATTTTTTTATTGCATGAATAATAATATCCATACTTATGTTTAAGTAGTTGGCAATAGTACCTTCACCGACTTGACGCTAGACCCACCCGCCTTTAAAATTCTTCTTGCCTTTAAAATTTTGCTGCCTTATAGATTGACGATAGCGCATCAGTTAACACACAGATGAACGAAGATTCTTGGGATAACTGAGCCAATGGTTCACGCAAAAAAACCTGTACTTCATCGTCATCCTCTTCACGTCTCGTGGCCGTCCGAGGCATGCTCTGGGGTTCAAAATAAACATTTTTGCCTTTAAAATGTTTTCGGCAAACAATGGCAAAAAGTACTATGACACTTGGTGCCCGCACCAAATTCAAACATTGCAATAGAAGCAGCACAGAAGAAGGGTGCCAAGTTCCAAACCGAACTGATTACTGGAATGTGTTGTTTAGAAGGTGCAGAGATCACGCGCTGCCCGAGAAGTTGCAGACCTATCCATAAGAGGAGAGTTCTCTTGAACAACCATTTTCTCTCTGGTAACACCCAAAATATCCCTCCACAAAGACTGGAACCGAAATTACTAGCTATATTTG